CTGCCACAGCCATGTTTTTACACCTTTTCGGAAGGCCAGGAAAGTGGGGGCAGCCCACACCTCAGGTGGCACCCTGTTCCACGGGGCGGGAGCCACGACAGAGAAGGCCCTCTTCCTAGACTCCACCAGCCAAAATTCCTTGACTGGTGGGATCCACAACATGCCCCTTCTACCGGACCAAGTGGGGTGGGCAGATATAACGGGGGCAAGACGGCTCCTCGGATATCAGAATCTGGTCCTTCCCATTGCTCATCCTAGTGAAGCTGAACCCACCAGTGTTGAATGTCATTGCGCACCAAAGCCGCTGCCTCCAGCTAGAGTGGAACCTGCCTGGGGATGAGCTGATGTCCGCAACCGAAGCCCAGTACGAGATCCAGTACCATGACTTGGTGGAGATGTCTTCGATGCAGGTAGGCACAGAGCTTCTTCAGTGCCAGCTGGGTTATATTGCTGGAAATGCAGTAAGAATTTGTGGGAGGAGCAATCTAACCTTACAAAAATATAAAACAGCAAATGTTGCCCTGAGCGCTATAAAATGAAGAAATATCTTCTCTAGCGACGTAACCTGCATTGTATAATGGTCTGTGGGAATGACCTTGGGAGATGGGGGGAGAGCCGCAGACTGGACCGTGGGCATGCAAAAGGTGTCTCAGCCCACAGAAGGAAAAGGGGCGTGGGAAGCGTCTCAGAAGGGACTCTCCCGTGTTTTTTGGAGAGTAAAAGAGGAGGAGGAGAGAAATACTTTCAAACTTGCTAATACTCCTGGTTGTGCTTCTTGTCTGTACTACCTCGAAGGACTAGCATCAATCTTGCAAGTCTGAAAGTATTTCTCCCCCCCCCCCCTTTTTTTTTCCTTCAAAAAAAATGAGGGTGCCCCCTGTGAAATTTTTCCCCCCCCCCCCTCTTTTTACTCTCCAGAAAACTAGGGAGGGTCCCCTCTGAAATGTTTCCCACGCCTCCTCTCCTTCTGTGGGCTGAGACTTTTTACACACTCGTTGTCCAGTCTGTGGCTCTCCCTCCTGTCTCCCAAGGTCATTTCCAAGACCATTGTCCTTTCTAACTTAGATATCATATTGGAGGATCTTTGCTTCACATGCATTCCAGTCTCAAAAACAGATTTAAGTTCTGTTACAAAAGAGTTTGACACTCTCCCATTGCAGCTAAAGAGATGATGAGCCCAAATGAATTCAGCATGATCGCATTTTTTAACTCTGCACGTAGGCCAGTTTCCACTGGCAGGTCTAACTTTAATATCAAATGAATATGAGGTTAAACACTGAACATGCCTGCACACTCACAGGTAAATTTTACAGCAGTGGAGAATGTACCCGTTTTTGCAAACATCTGTGGGTTATTCCCCTTTACCAACTACTCTGTCCAAGTACGTGCAAAATATCTGCCCAGCTTTGCTTTCCAAAGTGATGGAGGTCCCTTTTGGAGTGACTGGAGTTTGGAGAAATTTGCAAGAACCCTGCCTGCAGGTAAGGAATTCAGCTGTTTTTGGTAGATACAATTGCATTAAATGTTGCTGTCTTGCAAAAGGCTGGGATTTAGTGCACAAAAAGCTTATTCATTATTTCTACAACTCCTCAAGAACTTCAGGAGAATCCAAAGTAGGCCCAAAATGGACAACCCCAAAAATGTGGGCTCAGTTTTTTGTGGGGGGGAGAGAGTAAAAGTATTTCAAGACATTTAAGAGGCCAAATGGCTGGTTTACAACACAGGTTTAAGCTCTTAAAGTCCTCTGAATTCATCCCTTTCCCAAATTTGGGCTCATTTTCCTGTCGGGGAGAATTAAGTGCCAAAAAGTCTGCAAGGCTTAAGGCACCATTTTGCTCTTTGAAGCCTCTGAAGCCTTCCTCCCTTAAAGTGCTGAATGAGTTGTCCCCACCCATTCCAATGATTTTGGGGGTACTCTTAAGAAGCTCTTAGATTTTCCTAGAATGTTTCACATAGCAGTGGCCTCAGCCATGAGAAATGCACCAATCCTGATGAACAGTCATGCCCATAAAGGTGGGCGAGGAGATCAGGACCTTGGAGAGCTCCACTAGAGTCTGGATTGGCTAGAGCCTTTGCTCTTTTTAGACAGTACAGAGAGATATTGTCTCAGCAGGGAACAAAGACCTTATGAAGGCAAAGAGGGAGATAGGTTCTGCTCTAGGAGACCCAGAGAAAACTGGCTGTTTTCTGCCAAGGTACCACGCTTGACTGTATCAGAAGATGTAGCCACAACTGTACTATCTGGAAGCATTCTTAGGAACACACCCTGGGCTGGTTTGTTTTTTTCTTCATACCCTAAAAAACATCCTAGAGATGTCTCTCATTCTGCAACCTTGCGATTGATTGATTCTCCTTCTCCTTCTACCTTTAATGGGGGCTGGTGTTGAAGTTCCATCCCGAGGACCAGCTTTCTGGAGAAAACTAGGAAGCCCCGGTGCTGACAAAAAGAGAGTGGTTGTCCTGATGTGGAAGGTAGGAGAAGAAACCAACCACACCATTACAGGCTGTGGATTCACCCAGCATCCTCAGATAAATCAGTTAAATCCTTGGGACTGCATTTACACAATATGCTCATCTTGATTAGTTTTAACCTTGGTTAGGCTGGTAGGGCTTGTTGGGGGCTTAGTATGCTATGCTAACCGATCCCATTTGGATACAGGTAGTCCTTGCTTAATGACTGTTTGTTTAACAACATTTCAAATTACAACAGCCTTAGAAAAAGTGCGCTATGACCTGTATTTGCACTTACAACTGTTGCAAACTGTCACACCACCCCCTGCAGTCACATGATCATGATTTGTGACCTTTATTTGTGATGGTCATTAAGTGAATCATGTGGTCATTAAGTGAATTCCAGCAAAGACATCCATTAAGGAAGCTGGATTTGCTTAACAACCACATGATTCACTTAACAACCATGGTGATTTGCTTAACAGCTGTCATTAAAATGGTCATAAAATTGGGTCTGGTCACATGGTGACTCACTTAAAGACCACCCTGCTTAACAACCAATTTTCTGGTCCCTATTGTGGTCATTAAGTGAGGACTACCTGTAGTTTATGAATCAATATGTTGAGTTCAATGTATTCAGTAACCAGATTAAGCCTGTGGTGTGAATGCCAACACCGAGTTTTCACTATGGATTGTAAGGATCCCAAGAGTGTTAATTTTTCTCCTAGTCACACTTTCTTTTGAGAGATTTTCAATCTCTGTTTTCTTCTTCCCTTGTCATGTTTCATCTTAGCAGCATATGCATTTCACTTTTTATTTATGAACTTACAACAAGATTAATTGTAGTTGTTGTCTGCTCGACTCATACCCTCCCTCTCTAAACCTTCCCCAGAGCGGTGAAGACAGCTAACAAACGAGACAAAAAATATAAAACAATTAAAATTCAATTTCAAAAGTCTATAAATATTCATGAACATCCTAGCTGACCATAAAGATAATTTCTTCTCTTATTTCATTTTATTTCCTTCTCCATGTTCTCCTCTCACCTTCCCACTGGGCCGCTCTGGGTCTTGGGTTAAGAGGCAGGGACAGGCCCAAAATTGTTTCATTGTGCGGTGCCAATCATCCTGACTTTTTGGATCCCCCTCCCCGGGCACTGAGGCTCAGCCCCGGGCACTGAGACTTGGCAGCTCTTGACATACTAGTGCAGTGTTTCTCAACCTCAGTCACTTGAAGATGTGTGGACTTCAACTCCCAGAATTGTGTTTCTCAGTGCTTCTCAGGGTCCCTGCAGACCTGGAGGTCATCCTCTGAGCCAGTGTTTCTCAACCTTGGCCACCTGAAGATGTGTGGACTTCAATCCTGGGAGTTGAAGTCCACGCATCTTCAAGTGGCCAAGGTTGAGAAACACTGTACTGGTGTAACCCTTGATCCAACTGAAGTATGTAGGACATGCACAAATGTGTTTCTTCTTCTTACACAGGATTCCTTAGTGGTGGACATTTGGGTGGTATGCAATGCATTGCCTGAGAACAATCCCCTTTTCATTCATAGTCTTCTCCCCCTGGAAGATCATCCCAAGCCTCATCTTTTCATTTGTCCTGTAGCCCTTGAAGCCGAAGGAAGCAAATGGTGAGATTTTGGGGTACAGCCTCCACTCACAGAGAAAAGGCGAGCCAGTGGTGCCCAGGTACATCACACACAACCTGCAGTGTAGCCTGCTCCTCCCAGCCAGAGAAGAATTCATCTTCTTTCTCACCGCCAAAAACACTGTGGGCGTCTCTCCTCCATCCAAGCTTGTGATCCCAGCACTCCGTAACCCAGAAGGTGAGATGTCCAAGGGTAGTTGAAAGAACCTCGCCTAAAAGTTTTGGCCCGTTTTGGGGGGGGGGCAAAAATTGACGAGGGAAAAGATGTTTCTGCAAACAATCTTTGGAGAGCAGAGAAGGGACATTGTGATGGTCTGCCTTGTTCCGTCCTCGATCGACAAAAGACACAAAGGAGGACCAGAAGGTGACATTAAAATTAGACCGAATATTCATTAAAGGTTACTTTCACAGTTCCTCACCAATTCTTTCACCCTGAGAACAGCTAAGGAACTCCTGGCATCCATTAAAAGAAAGCCTCCCCCCACCCATTTTTTCCAGAAAAAAAATAGATAAAGTTTGGGTCCATTCAAAACCTAGAGTTAGCAGGGAGAGGGGAGTTATTTAGGCGATATATTTCTTTCGGGCCTATATTCCAAACTGAAATTGTTCACTATCTATATAGAAATGGGAAAGGCCACAGAGGAGAAAAGATTGGCCCAGCTGGCCCTCCCTCCCCAGTAATGGCAGTAGTGGTAGGGGGGAGGAAGAATCCAAAAAGTCAAGATGGCAGCCATGCCTGTGCAATCAATGCTGTGATGTGCATTATGGACACCCCTGGCTGAGCCATCCGTACCAGCAGCATGGATTTTGTCTGCATTTCTCAGCCCTCCACAACTGACCTTTCCCCCTTGCTGTTTCAGAGAGCAGATGGACCCTCTATTGCAGTGTTTCTCAACTCTGGCCACTTTAAGATGAGTGGACCAACTCCCAGAATTCCCCCCCCCCCCCTTGGTGGCTGGGGGGATCTTGGGGGGTTGAGGACCCCCACTTTAAATGACGCGGAGTTAGAAAAAAAACACAAGAGAGGAGATATCGC